GCCTACCGTCCGGGTAGGGAGTTCAGGAGAGGATGGAGGAGTACTCAAACTCTTAAATTTCCCAAGGCAAACGCAGTTTCTGCACCCCAGCCGCCCAAGTCTTTTTGACGGTCAGCATTCCCACTCAGGTGCGGTGGGAGCTTGTCTGCAATCTTTCACCACAGCTTGGCATGAGATATTTCAGGACCCCTGGGTACTGTCTACAGTGTCTCGGGGTCAGAGATGGGCCTTCAAGACAGGGCCACCAGGCAGCAGATTCATCCCTATGCATCTCCAGTCTTCCAAGCACAGGGCACGCGTGTTCGTGGAGTACATTCTCACTTTAAATCGTCCCGTCCTCATTTTAAAAGGATCTCAACAAACAGATAAGAGTGCCCTCCTTTCGTATGGAATCCCTACAATCCAATCAATTCTCCCCTCCATTCGGCTGCAGGATTGGATGACTTTAATCGACCTCTCGGATGCCTATTTCCACATCCCCATCCATGTGAAGTTCCAAAGGTACCTGCGCTTTGCAATCAGGGGATCACACTTCCAACTTGTGTGCCTTCCCTTCAGCATCTCTACTGCTCCCCGCACCTTCACAAAGCTTCTACTTCCATTCATTGCCCACATCAGGCTTCAGAGCATTCGCATTTTTCATTATTTAGAAGACATCCTTCTTCTGTCCCGATCCTCCTCGACTATCATGCACCAACAACAGCTGGTTCTTGCGCTGCTGCAACGCTTCGGTTGGTTGATCAACTACGAGAAGTCCCAGTAGCAACCTTCCCAACAATTAGTATTCCTCGGAGCTCTTCTAGACACGCAACGGAATTCCATCTCGCTTCCTCAAGACAAGATTCTCATCATACGTCACAGAGTTCTCTAGGCCATGTCATCCCCATGGCTCAGTGCCCGCAGGTGCCCGAGTCTGCTCGGTACTCTCTCCTCTACAATCCTGATGGTACGCTGGGACCATTGGAGACTACGAGTCTTTCAAGTCCTTTTCCTCCAGCAGTGGAACAGGTGGGATCTACGCCAGAAGATTTTCATCACAAACAGCATGACACAATCTCTCTGGTGGTGGACTCGCCGGGCCAATCTCATAAATCATCATCTTTGTCCTCCACAGCTTGTGGTGATCACTACCGACGCGAGCCTCCACGGTTGGGGGGGCGCACTGCCAGGGCTTAGCAGCAGAGGGCAGGTGGGCCTTCCAAGCTCGGGGAATGCCCTCGAACATCCTGGAAGTGAGAGCAGCGTTCAAGGGCCTCCTTACCTTCTTCCCAATCATCCAACAATGCTCGGTTCAGTTGAAAATCGACAATCGAACGGCAATCGCTTACATTCACAATCAAGGGGGTACACACTGTCGCTCTATGCTGCTGGAGCTCGAGCCGATGATGCACTGGGTGCAGGTTCACCTACTACATCTCTCAGCAATCTACCTTCCTAGCAGTCAGAACAGCCTTCCCGACCTACTGAGCCAGGCAACGGTGAGATATCTTCAGCTTTGTGACGGGTCATTGGGGCCTACCCCAGATCGACCTATTTGCAACCCCCAACAACAGCAAGACCACTCTGTTTGTAACCCGCTTTCCGTGCAGCAGGGCAGTTGCAACGGATGCGCTGACCTGCCCTGGTCCTTTACTCTGGGCTACGCATTCCCTCCCTTTCCTCCGATACCAAGGTTCCTTCAGTGAGTGGCTGCGTTTCCGGGAGTGATCATTGCAATCCTACCATATTGGCCCAGGAGGCCGTGGTTCCCTCCCGTTACTGGAGTTGAGCATGGAACCTCCGCTTTCTCTGCCGGGTCGCAGCGATCTCCTGCCCCAAGGCCCCTTCCTGCACCCGGCACCAGAAGCACTGCATCTAATGGCTTGGAGGTTGAGCGGGACCGTTTCTCAGGCTTGGGATGCTCACAAGCGGTTATCTCTACGTTACTAAAAGCACGAAAGCACTCGACAAACGCTACTTAACAGAGTGTGTGGGACAAGTTCACAGCAGCGGCAGGGGTTGGCGGGTACTCCCACCGTGAATCATGTCCTTGACTTTCTTCAGTCCGGTCTGGATAAGGTTCTCAGCTGAAATTCTCTCCGGGTTCAAGTTTCGGCCATTTCACCAGTCAGGATTCAGGTGGGCTCTGGATCCATTGATCATGCGTTTCCTTGCCTAAAACTTCATCCTTCTGTACGTTCATTGTTTCCGCATGGGATTTATCCCTTGTGCTGGATGTTCATGCTCCCTTCTATCCACATCCTACACCATCTCCCAGGGATATCACCCTCAAGACCACTTTTCTCCTGGCGATTACATCAGCTAAACGGGTCTCAGAGTTGCATGCACTGGCGGCCAGGGAGCCATTCTGCACGTTTTATCCAGACAGGGTTGTGCTGCGGACACATCCCTCATTCCTTCCAAAGGTCACCTCCTCGTTTCATCTTAATCAGGAGATTGTTCTGCCAGCATTTCATAACGAGGCGGGGGAACCTCATGCACTTGATGTGGTGAACATGCTGCGAGCTTACCCGAGCTCTACGCAATCATTTAGTCTTGTGGATAACCGCCTCGTCCTTCCTTGCGGTGCCAAGAAAGGGAACGCGGCCTGTGTGCGTACTATTGCAACCTGGCTGGTGAGGCTCATCCGAAAAGCCTACTCCAACAAAGGTCTACAACCTCCTGAGGAAATACGGGCTCATTCCACGAGAGGTATGGCAGCTTCCTGGGCAGCATACGCGAAGGTTTGAGCCGAAATGATCTGCAGGGGCGCCTCATGGTCTTTGCGGAATACCTTCATGAGTCACTATAGGGTGGACCCAGCACTTCTTAATACTGTTAGCTTTGGTCGAAGCATTCTGCAATCTGGTTGCTCTAACCTCTAATAAATGTTATTGGCATTACCCATACTGTGTGATCTCTAAATCCCATGGTGTACTGCCACACTACTTTTTTTTCCCTCCCTGCCATGGCTCAAACTCTTTTTTACTAGAATGAGGATGGCTTAGAGGAGCCTAAATTTATCACGTGTCCCGTGGGTTAAGAGGGGCTGACCTTAACCCATGGTGTGCTGCCAATCGATGCACCAGGAAAGGAAAATTACGGAAAGGTAAGTATACAATTTTCCATTGTCTCAAGAGATGTGGGTGTATAAACAGATGTGGAGTTTCTTGCATAGATTGCCTGTCACCTCGAGAAAGGGGGTCTCCAAAAGGTCAGTGGCTTTGCTTTTCTCTTTGTACTATGTGATTTTTGCTTTTTGGCCATAGTAAACACCTGGGGTCTTTAATGTTTGTGTGCGGGGCAGTTTTGTAATTTCAGATTTGAATGGCATTACCGTGCACGATTTAGCTGGTGTAGAATGGTACAGGTGCAGGATGAATTTTTGTCCAATAGAAACCTGACAGGGTTGCTAACCTTTCCACACAGTATGCAACCCCCACCCCCCCCAAAAAAAAAGTTTTGTCTTTAGATATACTTTAGCTGTACTACACTTACATTTTCGAAATGGGGCATAGGAGTTGCACATTTAAAAGGGATGCTGGAAATACTGTTTCTTTATATGGCACTGAGACTGGTCATGTGATTATGGGAAAGTCCATATTAACCCCCCATTTGGGACTCATTTGAATGTTTTCAATGGGAGCATCTTCAATATTTTTATAACAGAAACATGTAAGGATTGATTGTATTAACAGAACATCCTAGACAATATTTGTATTTCTTCTCAAAACGTTGGTGTCCATTCAATATACAGTAATTCACCATTACTACAGGGCTGCCCAGTTCATTTCTCACAAAGCATTTGGGCCCCATTTATCAAATAAATTTTAAAATATTTTTTTTGGGTTTTAAAAACCTTTATAATTCTGTTTCTTAGCAAATTAACGTGATATTAAAGTCGAAAGGTTTTTAGACTATTTCAAATGCTGATGAAATCACTTACAATGGATGCTGCTCATTGATGTTTAAAGTTTTAGCTTCTTGCAGAATCAGCTGGTGCCCTGAGATCCTGTTTTAGGGTGGCTCCTTTCCCTTGCAGGGTCCTATCGAGCCACCCTTGTGTTTCCTAGTAAACTATGCGAGTCTACACAAGCATGACAAGGCAGGTTACTCATCTCCCCCTGCTCATCCTATCTCCCTTCTCCAAACTAGTATATGGACAGCTTCTGGAGACTGTAAGGTCCCTTGTGATCTTGCACGGGACATGAAGTTCAGGGAAACTGCGCTGAGAAAGTTGGAGCCGTTTGGACACATAACGACAGTGTTTGGGCAAAAATGTAAAGAAATACTTTACTGGGCAATATATAATTACTTTTTGAAAAATGTTTGAGGGCCCAGTCACACCATATCCAGTGCGTTCCAGTAGGGTCTGAGCCTGGAATGCACTGGATTGTATGGATCAAGCCAGGCAGTGTCCATGCCATTCATGTCAGGGTCAATGCAGACATGCCCCAGGTACACGAGGTACAGGAATGTCCTCCGTTCCGTTGCAGTGTGATCTGAAAAAATAGTGCATGCAGCCTTTTTTCAGATCGCACCGTACTGGAAGGGAGGGCATTTTGGGGCGTGTCTGCGGTGCCGTTGACATGAATGGCACCAACACACCCACACACCCCCTCCCACCCCAGAACGCTGCCCGGCTTGATCTATGCGAATCAGTGCATTTCAGGCTCGAAACGCACTGGATATGGTGTGACTGGTCCCTGAGAGTTTAATACTACTTTAAGGGCTTGTTCACACCATTTTCTGGTCCAGATCTGCAGACGCGGTGTTAACCTTGAAGTGCGTTTTTGACGCGTTCGTGCGTTTCCGGACCGGAGAAAATGTGACATGCAGTATTTTTTGTCCGGACCGGACTGCGCTGGTGAGAACTGTAGCCCATAAAACCCATAGGGAGACATTTTGATGCATTTCGGGTGCAGGAGCGAACGGTTCTGGTCCGGACAGAATCTGGACATCGTGTGAACAAGCCCTAAGCCACAACTGTAATAAGCTACAAATAAATATGAAGTACTTACCGTACATTTACAATGCCAATTATTTCCTTGGAAACATACCGCAGAGTAAACGCATTCAAAGCAAAAGTAAGGAGACGAAAGAGAACCTGTGGACATAAGGGTGAGAACTATAATCATACATGGCCACAACAGTTTGGGTCTATTACATCGTGGCTCAATGGCTAGAAAGATGTGAGAAACATAAACCCTGCCTTTGATCAACTTTGTTAAAAATGCCAGTTCCCTGGCTGTCAACCTGACCCTACTACTTTAATATTTTTTTTTTTTTTTTAAGCAGAGGCGGAAATCAATCTTATCGGTCTGACAGCCTCAGTATATCAAAACACCTTGAGGTGTGGTGCAGGTACAAGTAACCACACTGCACTGAATTATATTGCTCACGAGTTGATTTATTTGGTATGTATAGGTCCACAACTTGTGTTATAAGGGGCTAACTTTAGAATAAATGGGGGGGCTCCCTGTTTAAAAACTATTTTTTAAACAAAATTAGAAATTCAACATCCTTTACAAATTATTTTACAATTAGAAGGCTTCTTTGTCAGCATACACAATTTTTAACGTGTTACATTAAATCGAACATGGCTGAAAGCAGCATAAAAGAACACTTATTTCTAAGCAGATTTATGTGATGGTTCCCAGCTCATATGGTCCCTATATTAGCACTGTACCTGCAGAAGCATAGTGTACGATGCCAGCTTTGTGGTGTCTGTGAGCACATCTTGCCGAGAACCCATCTTCCTTGTGAGTAACAGCAAACAGGTAGTCAGCAGGCAGCGTTTCCATTTCCTATTAGTAGTGCTGTGAAAGAACAGAATCTCTCGAGTGAGTCTGGCGTCACCATCTTTATTACGGGTAATAACTACACGGCATATGTATGCGCTACATATCGAAGCCGTTAATCTGTAAACACTTTTCGTTATTTGAATAATATCGCCAACTTACTGACAACTCACAGTGCCTATGGCTTAGCAAGCTAAGCAAATCGAGCGATTTAGGCACGGTAGCGGCTAGTTCCTATCCCGCAGATTGCCCTGTGATGTCACAGTAAACATGTGACCAGGAAGCAGGAAATAGTGGGCGGCAAACTCTAATGAATAGGAGCTGCCATACAGTGATCGAGAGGCTACAAGCAAATCACACGTTTTACACTGTAGGTCTCCCTCTGTCCATCTTCTTTTACATTATATCCTCTCTGTATATCTTTCTGTATACCCCCCCTCTCTGTATATCTGTCTATAAACTCCCCTCTCTGTATATCTGTCTATATACTCCCCTCTCTGTATATCTGTCTATATACTCCCCTCTCTGTATATCTGTCTGTATACTTCCCTCTCTGTATATCTGTCTGTATACTTCCCTCTAACCCTACATCTGTGTATCATTTAATTTTCAATGCACCTTGTTGTAGGTACATACTGTAAACAACATTTATTGCTGGTATACATAGTTGCCAACATTTAAAAAAAAATTCCAGGGACACTTTTTTTTTTGCTATTTTTGTGAGCCGCTGATGACAGCTAATAATTTAAAGGGGACAGTCTGCTGAACAGTTCTACTAGAACTGTAAATGCCAGGTCCGTATGGCATACGGAGCTGGCCAGCTGGAAGCACTTTTGTAGGTCCGTATGCCATACGTCCTTGGCAGCGAAAGGGTTAAGGCATTGTTCACACCGAAAGTGCATGCGTTCTTGAGCAGTAGCTGCTGGAACGCACAGTGATTGCTGAGAAACTTCCCCTTGCGTTTTGGGGCGGGAGGTGGCCTGGCGCCCCCCCCGCCCGCAGTGCGATCTGACGTCTGGCAAAACTTTGCCACACGTTCGATCGCACGGCGGGGGGTGGCGTGAAAGCGTTGCCATTGAATACAATGCACCCTTCCGCCCCAAAACGCGGGGGGAAGTTTCTCAGCGATCGTGGTGCGTTCCATTAGCTACCGCTCTGGAATGCACACGCTTTCCGTGTGGACAAGCCATTGAAGACAGAGAACATACTTTAATTAGGAGCAGGGCATTCATTTAAAATGGATGTTATTCTACCAAAGGTATATTGTTTAAAGTCCAACTTCAGGGAAATTAAAAGTTTTCCTTGCAGTGGGGCTGCGCCTGCACTGCTTGTTCTTACTTAGGGGGACAGAAAAAACAGCCAAGAAGGTATTGGTCATTATTAACCCTTTTGCGTCCACTGCATGTCGGCTTTACAATAAAAGCGATTCTGGCTGCTCATCTGCCTTCAGATCGCTTCTACAGGCAAGTAAAGTGACCGCCCCTCGTCTAACACCCCGCCGTGCTTCCCAGGCTCTGCTGCCCCTCCTGTGGGCCCGGGACCCACAGGGGCATGCAGTCACTGTCTCAGGTGTCGGCGGGAAGCTGGTGAGGAGAGCTGCAAACAACCGTTCATCAATCTCCTCCCCACTCTATGGGACCGGGAGCGACGCGTATTACATCACTTCTGGTGTCTGAGCTGTCATTGAAGCCGAACAATAAGCTATTGAAGTGTGATCTGCACTTCAGTAGCCTATGTAAAGTGGAAAGGTAATACTAGGGGTCTTTTGAACCCCCAGTATCACCTTAAAGAGGACCGGTCACTGCCAATATGCTATCACATGGGGGCGTACCATGTGATAACAATTAAAGTAAAAAAAAGTTTAAAAAAATAAAATAAATGTAAAAATAATTTTTAAGAAATGTTTATAGTCCCCCGCCCCTGCAAGCATGCAAGTCATCATGTAAACATGCGGCGGGTGCGCCTACGTACGAAAACGACAATCGTGCTAAACATTTTGGGTATCGCCACACATGCCAGAGTGAAAGCAGTAATTCTAGGGCCAATATCTATGCGTATCCCTAAACTGATGACCTGTAGGTGCTTTTAAAGCGTTGTCTATTGACTTTTTGGGGTACTAAATTTTGTCACAGTTTCACGGATGCACACAATTTTTAACCTTGGCATGTTGGGTATCTATTTACTCATTGTAACCTGATATTTTATATATTGTGTTTAGGGGCACTAAATTGAACTTGGGTTTGATAATAAGTTGCCCTAATATCAAGCAACATAAACATTTGTAAATGCCACCATTTTATTCTAGAGGAACTTGGCTTTCAGAAAATATATAATGTTTGGGGGTTTTAAGTAATTTTCAGGCCTAAAATGTGGATTATAACGTGTGCAAAAAACGAGAAAAAGTCCTTGGAAGCGAAAGGGTCCTTAAGGGGTTAAAGAAATATTTATGTATTTATTTAGCTAGCTACAACTCTTAAGCTGGCCAAACACGACTCCAGTTTGGCACCACCCACCTTGAGAAAAGTTGGACTTCAAAAGCAGGGGCCTGGTGGAAAATTGTCACCCAAACAGTGACTACATCCTATGATATGCAGTCACTGTTCAGGTATTCAGACAGCTGCTGGTGCTTTGGCTGTCTGACTAAAGAATGTGGTTGGGGGAATTAAGTGACCTCCCTCATTCAGCCTACCACGCTGAATAAAAGAAATCCACACAGGGACATCCTAAAACATTTAGGGGGTTATTCACTAAAGAGCCAAAGGATTTAGCCAAACGTTCAGCTAATCCTATGGCTGCAGAAACCATTCAGTTCGAACCGCAGGGCTGCTGTAAGCGCTATTCCCAGAGAATGGTCTGCCGAACTGGACCGAATTCCTGCAATTGTGTAAAAAAATTGAATTAAAAAAAAAAAAAACCAGAGTGGGTACCCATACCCAAATCATAATAGACCCTTCAGGTCTGATAGGAATGTTAAGGGGTACCCCTGATGTGAAAAAAAGAAGTGGAGTTCCACCACAAATTTAGGTCTGGTAGCAATTTTAAGGGGGGACCCCAACACCAAAAAAAAGTGGGGTCCCACCTAACATTCCATACCAGACACCCCCCCCCCGCACTGCACTGCACTATACCAGGCCTCATGCCCTTGACATTGGGAGGGTGCTTTTCCAGAGGGTTCATCCGCCCTTCCACTTCAACTGCCGGGGCGGGTATCTTTTTTGTAGAGAACAAGGACCACTCCCTGAGGCCTTGCATAGACTATAGGGACTTAAATAAAATCACAATTAAGAATCACTACCCGCTACCCCTGGTTCCCGAACTGCTCCAGCGGTTTCGCACCGCAAGGGTCTTCTCCAAATTGGACATCAGAGGGGCATACAACCTGGTACGGATGAGAGAAAGAGATGAGTGGAAAACGGCTTTCCGTACCAGGTTTGGCCAATTTGAGTACTCAGTCATGCCCTTTGGGCTATGTAATGCCCCTGCAACGTTCCAGCACTTTGTTAATGACATCTTCAGGGACTTTTTGGATTTATTCATGATTGTGTACTTGGACGATGTGACAGACTCCCTGATACCCCGACTGGATATCTCCGTCTTCAGCCTGTTCCCTGGGTGCTGGAACCAGAAGCCAGTGACTATGGCATAGGCTTACCCCAAGAATCAGACTGACATCAATACTAACTTTGGAGTGAAATATGAACTGCTTTATTGTAGAAGAGCACACAGAGTTTACACAGAATCAGATAAGCATTCATTGTTACATCAAACAGTTCACACCCCTGGAAAGCCAGGTGCCGCATTGGAATTCCATTAAGTAGATAAGAGCTTAATCCTATCACTCTAAACAATGGCTCCTCCAGACAGCTTTAGAAAAATGGTTCACATCAATTTAAATAGTGACCAGCTCTCCCCAGATAAAATATTAAACTGGAAAACACACAGCACACAAAGTTCTCAGTGGCAATAAATCTCTGCAGCCCTAGGTCCGTCACAATGCCCGACCCCCCCGTTCCATAGTCCGGCAGACCCGGCTTGTTCCACCACGAGTCAGCTTGGGGCTGCCCGGGAGCATGAGGCTTACTTCACAAGTCAGTTTTCCGGGAAAGACCGTCCATGCTGTTCTGCTTTCCTGGCCGGTACTGAATAGTAAAATTATAGGGCTGCAGGGCAAGACTACACCACAGCAAGCGTCCATTATCTCCAGAGACTCGATTGAGCCAAACTAAAGGATTGTGGTCAGTGAGCACCGTGAAGGATCTTCCATTCAGATAAGGCTGCAATTTCTTCAAGGCCCACACCAATGCTAAACACTCCTTCTCCACGGCTGCATACCCTGGGTAGCAGCTTGCGACTGATGTAGGCCACCGGGTGCTCACTGCCGTCGTCTCCCACTTGACTCAGTACTGCTCCCAGCCCAAAAGTGGAGGCAAACGTTTGTTTGGGTTCGGAGCAGCTAGAATAGGTGCACAAATTAAAGCCTTTTTCAGGCACTGGAACGATGTCTCGCACTCTGGGGACCACAGGACCTGTCGGGGAAGGTTCTTTTTGGTCAGGTCGGTCAGGGGCTTGGCGATGGTGCTGTAGTCAGGGACAAACCTACGATAATATCCTGCTGTCCCCAGGAAAGCTAAGACCTGGGTTTTTGTCCTAGGGGTGGGTCAGTTGGCAATTGCCTCTACCTTAGCTGGCTCGGGGCGCTGTCGCCCACAGCCCACCCGATGTCCAAGATATTGTACCTCGGACATCCCTATGCTAAATTTTTCTGGCTTCAGGGTTAGGCCCGCAGCCCTGATGCGGTCCAACACGATACCCAGGTGGAGCTGGTGTTCCTCCCAGGTGTCACTGTAGAACGCGATGTTGTCCAGGTATGCACAAGCATAATCTTGGAGGCCATCAAGTAGTCGATCCACCATCCGCTGGAATGTCGTTAGAGCATTCTTCTCCCAAATGGCATGACCTTAAACTAGTACAGGCCAAAAGGGGTGATGAATGCCTACTTTGGAATG